ATCAACTTAGTGTCAACTGAATATCCTTCCTGGTTGGCATTCAACCATTTTGGCAGCCATCTTGACAAATTCTGCATAACCAATTGTTCATTATTTATGAAATGGGCGGCCTTCTTTGGACATTTCTAGCGCCTCAGCAGATTTTTCGCTCGGGGTTCGACGGACAAAATTAGATAATATCCAACAATTACAGAAGTTGGCACCGATGAGGACCTTATTTTGGACCAGAAATTTTCGCAGTTGATTTTGACGGGCAGATGACACCCAGCGTTTGCCTATTCTCGGGGATTTCTTTCGTAGTTTCGTTCTTCAGGGCCAGGAATTTCATGACGGTTCCATGTTTTAATCAATGTTCCAAAAATATTGTAAAACTCCGGTAAATTAACGGATCAGGTTTTGGGGAATGGATCAGGATGACAACTTTTAGCCCATACTGGCCTATAGACAAACCAGAAGCAGTTAGAATTTGAAATAAATTCTTTGATATTTTGAATGAAATGTATTTACCCAATTCAAACCAGAAAACTTAATCGATAACGCTCTCATTCCATTTAAACATCCCCACTACGTTTTGTCATTTGCACAATCTCCTTACAATCTCTTGATGGTGAAGGTGCCTGTTCAAGTGGATTCCACCGTAATTTAGGGAAAGCCAAGGATATTAAAACTTAGTTAAATATTGTTCATTGAAATAGATATATAAATTTTTAAATGCATTGCAACCAAATGTATCAGACTATATAAATTTTGGTAGATATTTGTTTTTGTACTGATGTTCACCCTAGGGTCAAGGTACAGCTTATGCGGATGTATGGAAAATAACAGTTAATCCTAGACTTGAACAGATTAAGATTGTAGTGATTGAGGAAGCATCCTCTTGGGAGTTGGTTCCATAGAGCAGTCGTTCGCAGGAAGAAGCTGCCCGAGTGGAACCTACATCTCATGAAAGGAATACGAAGGTAAGGAGAATGGTTCGCTACAATGTGCATGACATGGCGGACCCTAGCCGCGTACGTTAGAACTGGTGGAACTAAAGAATGTAGTTCGTCTGAGCACTTTCTTTGAAAATAACGATAGAGCAACGAGACGCTTGCGACATCATGTCTGTGAGGAAGTGATTGTAAGGTGGAAAATAATTCATCACCCACAAGGATGCGCAGATGTTTCTGGACCTTATCGAGATTTGAAAGTGAAGACTGAAAATCTCCTGCCCATCATTCAATGAGAGGATAACGGTTATAATAACACTTTAAAAGGCGTTTTTTTTCTTATTGTACCGTGCAAATAGCTAGCAAGTGGCAGTCCACAAAATATGTTGCTTTTTTTTTTTTAAAATGCTATATACGTAATTAAGCCATTTACTCGTTGAAATTTCATACTAATTTTATCTAGTGTCTTTTGGTGACGGTCGACAGATAGAAAATGTAGATACCAGCACACTCCTCAGTATTCTCTCTGGTTTTACTAATGCTGTTTCAGATATTTATACTATTTACATTGTTCGGGCTGTTGTCCTCATCTTTACTGTCACATTCACGATGTTTCGATAGTTGTACGCTCTGACCTTCTTCAGGTGATATCTGTTGGATTTCTAGAATAATCTACCTCCATGAACTAAATAAGGTGTTTGGCCGGAAATTGCAACAAATATCACCTGAAGAAGGCCGGAGCATACAAGTAAAACCAGCAAGAATACTCAGGAGTGTGCTGGTGTCTAGACTTGCTGTCACTTGACCTTCATCAAAAGACACCAGATAAATTAGTATGAAATTTCAACGAGTATATAATAATAATAATAATAATAATAATAATAATAATAATAATTTATTCTATTCACTTTCACACTCATGTCCCTGGGGGGTGTCCAGCTAATATTTTTAATACTGTCATAAGCCTTTCTTACACATGCTGCCATAATGCATTGTAAACTCTAAACAACCCTACAGTAATTTTAAGCACCCATCATCATCCTCGGCTTTACTCAAATTGTTTAAGACGCTTCCATTTTCCTCTATTCGTAAGCCTCACAAGTGGAATAGCCTAGGGCATCTCTTCATTTAAATCCTGCCTTGCATGGATCTCTCTTTTCGCCCCCTGTTGTAGGTTAAACAGTAGGGTACAGTGGGCTCTTTAGTCTTGGATCGCTTACGTTATGAAGGGGAATAGCATTTAAAAAAGGTTTTAATTGAAATAATAATAAATATATATTTAGAAACAAATATAACAAAAATTATATTTGGAAGAAATATTAAAAAAAAACATTTTGGTGCAAGAAAAGTTAAGAAATGGCAGGAAGCAAGCAGACGTCTCCGTCCTAATTTCAGCTTCCTTACCTGAGAATCATTTAATAATAACAAGGATCAACTTTAAACTTCTAAATAATGAAAAGTCATAATTTCTGTTTCACTGTCCAATTATTGGGATAAAATAGTTGTGGCTTCACGGAAGATGCATCAATAAATCCGTAACTCTGATACGTAATTATTACATAAATTTTGATCTGAAAACTTCCCTATAAAATTTCCAATTTATTGATAAATGGAGAAGCATCGGATTAAGGGCATTGACAAGGAAGGAGACTGTTGGGAAATATGAATTTCTCAATAGTTGTTATTTTATAAAACAGACTCCTTAGTAAATACTTACCTAAACACTAGTTATAAGCTCTTTTAGTCAAGGGTCAGCTGTTATCTATCCTCATAATCTCCACTTTCTATTTCACCCTCCTCCTTACAGTAATATCACGCACCTCATTCAGTAACCACTCTACTTTGAGTGGCTCTTGAGTCTTGTACTAGCTGATCTTTAGTAAAAAGAAAAATAATATTTTTTTTATTACAGACTTACCGATTTACCTGCGATTATAACATTGCAAATTCAAATAAATGTCACTCTACCAGCTACCTACTGTTTTATTTTGTGTGTGTGGGCTGTGTGTGTTTGTTTGGAGGGGTATATCCAGGGGTACAAATATACCAAGCCCATTATGACACCCAAGGTAAACGAGGCACATAAAAACACTGTCAGTTGTCAAATGTCCGTGATATAGGGACAGGTTTTGGTAAAAGCTGAGTATATTTTTTTTGCAGGTGGGGCCTCTAGGTCGGGTAACCCAGTCCGTTCATACGGTCTCTGATTGAAGGTGTTCCACTGTAATCTAGCTAGATGTAACTTCAAAATCGCTATTGCTACCTTAAAATTCGTACAAAAAAAATCCTTTTTCTCGACACCTGGCCATGATGTTTACACCATTATTATTATTATTATTATTATTATTATTATTATTATTGCTGTTGTCCAACTACTACTGCTGCTTCTGTAACTACTTTTGCTGCTGCTACTACTAATACGACAATACATTTATTTATTTATTTCACAGAACCTAGCGCCTGTATTTACAAAATCTACTTATACATTTTACATTACGGATAGCTAATGTATCTCCTATGGGGGTGAAACATTATATAAGCATTCATTATGGGGTACATTGTACAATAGAGTAACTTAGTTTCATTTCAGATCTTGATATAACTTTTTTTTTGCATAATGTTATTGTTAATTGTTAACTTTACCTTCTTTAAAAAACGATTTGTGTACTTGTAAAATATTTAAATCATGTGTAACTACGAAACTTTTCTTTTTTGTTTTTACTCATATTCGGAATATAATTAAATTATGAAACATTAATAAATAATGCCTTTATTTTTTTAACAAAGACAAAAACGGGATTAGCTTTTTTTTCATTGTCCCCAGCCAAACTTATGATGAGAAAATCTGGGTAAAAAAAATAATAATCAGAATTCTTTATCATTTGTCTTGCGTTTTCTTATCTCTAAAAAATTTATTTGTCTAATTTTTTTTTTCTCTCGGTGTTGTTGAAGTCAACAACCTTGAAAAAATATCAGTCTTTGCTTCATTGCAAATGAAAAGTTGGTCTTCAATAATAAATATGGTTTTATATGCTAGCTTCATTTATTTATCTGTGTACACTGTACACTGTACAGTATATGAAACTTTTTTTACGGAATTAAAATACAATTCATATGCCTTGGATAATCAATAATAATCGATAATCATCCGTAATTGGAAAAATATGGGCAGATAAAATTAAGAAAACGTAAAAAAAATTACTCTTCAAATTTAATTCATTTAGTTAGACAAATAATGGGTGGGGCATAATTGGTTGCCTTCGTCATTTTTCTTTTTATTTATTTACTTTTGCTTAGATGTCTACAAAAATGTCTATCCTTTAACTCAGCTTTTAAAATAAAATGATTTTCAAAATTACCTTTCTATCCATAAATCTCCTTCAACATCATTAAAAAATAAATAAACATTTTGCTATCATAAAGTTTGTTTACGTTTTTTTTAACTTAAAAAAAGATCTTTTTGTGTTCATTTGTCATTCTTACCAACTTAATGAGATTTCCATTTTGATTCTACGAAATCAAACTTTTGTCTGAAATTAATCAAAACCTCAGTTTAGAAATCCTATTTACAATGATTAGTTTACAATCCAGGGTTTCTTACAAATTATATATATATATATATATATATATATATATATATATATATATATATATATAATTTAAATTTTCACAGTTTTTATTTAGTTGTTTGTTTCCCATTTTTTTAAAATTGTCACTTTAAGAGTAAAAAAAAAATTTTTTACAACTTTAATCATAGAAAGAAAACATTACATTTTTTTTTAAAATGTTTTACTTTTAGAATTCCATTGTTTTTTTTTTGTTAATCTAAGCAAATCATTTGCAAATCTATCACTCGCGTATCACAGATTTTGCAAATATCTGAATAGTAATTTAAAAAAACCAACTACTCAGATTGTTTTGATTACGTCGTGTCAATTATTACGTGTTCGTGGAATAGATAGATAGATAAATAATGAACATACTAAGATAGATATGAAGAAACAGACTTGTTTTGATTTTTTTTAAAAAAAAGTTAGTGCATAAAAACTAAAATATACGAAAATGACGCACCAGATGTAGGGGTCCCTCGGCGAATTTGACATTACCAGCTTTGGCAAACCAGCCTTTTATGTGTACTTCACGGTTTGCCTCAGGAGTGATGACCTCAGGGTCAGCCGAATGTCCACTTTGCCGATGGCCGTCACGGTGTCTACCCTGAGTCGGTCGATCCCCCCCTCTCCTTCTATTATTTGTAGTATTTTGTGATGTTGATGATGACGACGCCGTCGCTGTCGGAGATTCCCCTGAAGAATTGGACGATCCATTTGTTGGACTCCGTTCTGAAGATGGAGGTGGAGGATCGGTCAGTCGAATGTGGACAAAGGCCGTACGGTCAAGTTCTGTGGCTAAAGTGACCGGGACACTGCACAAAAACAATAGCACGCACAAGTGGGAGGCTATTTGCAGGTAGTATACAGTCCTAGGATAGAACCACCAGCCTCCTGGTCGAACACTGATCCATTGTCCGTGACCGGGGTTCAACGGGGGAAAAATTTGACCCAGGTACCCGAGAGAAGGCCAACCTGAGTTGGACACTGCCATCTTTTTGCCAACCAGGCTGCTTGTCATTGTCAAGGGCAGACAACTCTACATCTCAAAGGGGAATAATTTTCAATTTAAAAAAAAAAAATCTTTTTCACTCGAATCAGAAAGTATAGGGTCAAGCCGTCGAGTATTTGTTTGTTTCACAAATAAGTCAAGAACGAAAATAAATTGTAAAGTGATTTTTTTAGAAATTTTAAATGGAAGTAACCAGATCTTTTTTCTTATTTATTACGCGTAATCGACACATTTCTACTAAATTTTACTTGGCGGATTTATAGGGATTTGACATTAAAAAAAAATGAATAAAATAAATCAATTATCTCTTCTAGAGTTATGTTGCATGCGTTATACACTTAGGCGATCCTGTATCTTTCGATACATGACAGATTTTTCCCGCAGTAGGTTTCCATTTCTTTCTACCAGTTGCTATCCAAGGCTATAGAACTCTATGGCTGGTGAAGAAGAGGATTTATACCTTTCCCAAGAATACTAGCACGTAAGTGAATGCAATGGATTCGAGTGGAATTCGAACTCGGCTCTCCGATTCCTCAATTCTAGCCGTTATACATTACTCCACCGTAAGGACACCAGAATAGAATACTTACTCAAATTGAAATAGTAATTGTTTATTTACAATACATATTTTTAAGTGAAATAGATGTATATGGATCTGCTCAAAATATTCTTTTGAGGCCTAAAAGAGTGGGGGTTTATAGTAGTACAGTGTAACCCGAAACACGGATATAAGAAAGATTTTCTCTGGTCCCAAATTAGAGCCTGTGTTAATGTATATAAATTAGACCCGGTTATAAGAGACTCTGATATAAGAGAAACCCGGATATAAGAGAGACTTTCTCTGGTCCCGTCCTCCCCGATATAAGAGAGTTCGTTTTGAGTGACAGTGTGATGTCGTAAATCGGTCAAACAGAGGTCAGTTAGAGAAAGAGAGTGAAGTTCAATGACTTAATCTTGACGAGTCTAGAGACACGGTGGGTCCAATCTGTGTCTGTAGGAGACACCCTCTACCTTATGATTTTGCTTTGTGTGTCTAAGGGTAGCACCGCCCGCTTTTTTGCCGACTTTGCTTGTCGTTGCATTTACTGGACAGCACTTTCACTTTACCCACTGTTCTGTTGAGTCAGAAGTTTCTGTTTGTTAATTTTGCCACTGAAAACCGTTTGCTTGCGATCATTGCGATTAGTGATGTCGGCGTCTCAACGAAAAAAAAACTGAGCATTTCTGAACAGTTGAGCTCATCGACGATGTCAAAGGAAGAAACTCAAAATGGCCGCTGCAGCCAAAAAGTACGGAATCGGTTATTCAACAGCAGCAAAAATTCTCAAGAAAGAAGACGATCTCAGATCTTGCATGCAAATGAACGGAAACACTAATCGCAAACGAAAGCGCCAATCCGTGCACAAGGACGTTAACGAAGCGCTTACACAATGGTTTACGCAAGCATGTGCTCATGGAGCTACCGTCACCGATCACGTCATCGGGCAGAAAGCATCACAACTGGCCGTAAATCTTGAAGTTGATTTTGAACCGAGCAATGGCTGGCTCATGCGCTGAAGCAGGCCAATAACGTTTCGTTCAAAAAAATTTCACGGCGAATCAACGTCAGCAGATCACGGTTCTGCCAACGAATGGGTGACAAACGTTTTGCCGCAACTTTTTCGTGGATATGATCCAAAAGATGTTTGGAACTGTGATGAAACGGGAATTTTCTACAAAGCCATGCCGTCTGGATCTTTGCGATTTGCCGGCGACGAACAGTCAAATGGGACAAAAGTTCCCAAAGACAGACTCATGATGCTTCAGTTCACAAACATGGACGGCAGTGAAAAGCAAGCTGTAGTTGTTGGTAAGTCGGCAAAACCACGCTGCTTTAAAAATGTCAAAACTCTGCCGTTTTCTTACTTCGCTAATCGTAGAGCCTGGATGACTAGTCAGCTGTTTACTGACGTTATGAAAACGCTTGATCGAAAAATGATTGCTCAAAATCGAAAGATTATTCTGTTTTTGGACAATGCAACTTGTCATAACTTACTGCCGGGTACAAATCTATCAAACATCAAATTGTCGTTCATGCCACCAAACACCACCAGTCTCATTCAACCTTTGGATCAAGGCATCATTCGTTCATTCAAAGCGTATTATAGTCGGGAACTTGTTCGAATGCAAATCGCAGCGATCGATGCTACACCGCCAGTGCCGCTGTCCGAGGTGGCCAAGCAGATAACTGTTTTGAAGGCCATGCACATGATGAAGCGAGCACTTTTCATGATCAAACCGTCAACAATTCAAAATTGTTTTAAAAGGGCCGGCTTTGTCATTGAATCACAGGCTGAAGTGGAAGAAATACTCGACGAAAATGATCAAGTTTCTCCACCATCGGGCATGGAGCAAACAGATTTTGACGAATTTATCAGCTTCTAGACCGTACACAATGTTATGGAGAACTGACTGACACGGACATCACACGTGGTATAAAATCGGATGATCAAGATTTTGACGAAGATGATGATGCTGAAAGCGTAAGTTCTGAAGTTTCGAAAGTGACAAACCAGTGCCAAATTCTCTGGCTGCATTGAATGCGCTTGAAACTCTGACAGCCTACTTTGAATCAAAAAGCAGTAATCCTGATGGCGCATTGAAAATGATTTACGGACTGTATGAAAGTGTTCATGATGTTAACAAAGAGATTTCTGTACAATCAAAAATGACTGACTTTTTTAAGAAAAAGTAATTTTTGATTGAATTATTTTGAAAACTAATTGAAAATGTATTTTTGTCTGTGTTTTTTATGTCTATAACTGTTAAATAAACTAGTGTTCTGTACGTAAAAAGCGTTATATGAAGTGTTCCCATACTTAGCTAAACAAAATAGACCAAACCCGTGATATAAGAGACTTCTTCTCCGGTCCCGACAACTCTCTTATATCCGGGTTACACTGTAGCTAAAATTATAAAGTTCTTGGTAAAAAAAAAACAGTCAGCGAGGTACACGGGGTGCTGTTAAATTTTGTTGGGCTGATCGAGGTCGATAGATCAACACATTAACGGGAGCGTCCGTTTATTAAACGAAGGAGTTGCAGAATAATTGTTGTTTGTGGAAAGCTTTACAAAGTTGGTACTGCTTTGTAAAATAATAAATGAAAAGGGTGTAGAAGCCTGTTAGTTGATGTGGCCTCTTGAATTTATATTTAACGCAAAATACCACAAAATATGAAATAAGAAGAAGGAACACAAAACGTTTATTTAACAACAATATTTATATTTATGTACGTAATGATCTACAAGCATAAGGGTTACTTCCCTTTGACTGGAATTACTAAGTCTTTACTAAAGAAATATTTTTATCTGAACACATAGAAAGTTGAATGAACTTGCCGCTCAAAATATTCACTGTGAGAAAGAATGAAAGAATTCTGTAAAGCTGAAAATATGTTGATAAACGTTTAGCTTCGGAAGAGTTAAAGGAGTAAATGTTCCATAATGTTTAATTAGTTTCCGTTGCTTGTAGTTGAATATTTGTAATATGTTGGTGCTTGTAATGTTCTGCAATATTCGTAATGTTTGTAATTAAGTTTCCGTGTGAATATGTTTTCATAGCGTCCGTCCGAAAGAGGGTCGGAACGTGATTTCTTAAACAGCTACAGAGAGAAATTAATTAGAGAGAAAGCACTCGTGTCTATTATTTATAATCAGCGTAATCACGTGATAGGCTCCGAAAGACAGACAGGTTTTGGCGGAATTATTTTTTCTTCAGGTCAAAAACTAGGTCGATGTTATTTAAATATTAACTGACCAATGAGAAGTGATAAAAATATCAAGGCTCTGTGATCCACTTTTTGCACAGAATTGCACAAAAATTGATATTGATAAAAAAAAGTGGTAGCAGAATGCTAAAAGAGTGAGTTGCCTTCGTATTATTAAAGAAAACTTGATCTGGTTGTGAGTTTGTTTCTGATATGTTCAAAATTGTTTTTAAATTGTTTCAGAGTTAAAGGATTTTCAGCGGAAATTAAAATCTGTATGTCACGCTTATTTCCGTATTTCCCCAAAATGGTCATTACTTCCGCTTCCGCGGAGCCAATATTAAATCACTCGCGGGTGCGTATAAAAGAAAGCAGTAAGCCTTTTTCTTCATGATTTTTCTCTCTCCAGACATTGGCACGGCCTCTTTTTCTTCGATTCCGCCAAAACTTGTCTATGCCTTTCGGAGCCTATCACGTGATTACGCTGATTATAAATAACAGACACGAGTTCGTGCTTTCTCTCTAATTAATCGGTTCTTCTCTAAAGAAAGATGTTGTGATAACGTCTTCAAAAATGCAGTCTTCACAACCAGAGCACATTGTCCTGAGAGAAAAAACAAAAATAACTCGTACAATTATACATTTCAGGCACGGATATTTTATACACCAACCACACTTGTACATTTCCCTCTTATTATTTGTTTGTTATAAATTGTCTTCTGTATAACTCACACTAAATGATTCGGACTTACTTAGTGGTTGTATCCAAGTTTGCAAGATTTGCCTTTCTCTTTCTTTCTCCCTAAGTCTGCTTTTTTTCGACTACTAGATTTAATGGGAATGTTACAGTGTAAGTAGGTTAGGGTTGATGAAGTAATAATCCTGATTTGTTGAGTGTTGTTAAAGTAATTACTCTGTTGCTATATGTATCTGTAGTGTAGCAGGAATCCTTTTCTCTTTTTTTATATTGAAAACGAAATGAATTAAAACGTATAACAATAATATAAACAATAAAAACTCGAGACACGTGGTGACATAAATAATAAGAATTTGTACCTTCTTTTGGTGTTGAACATTACAGAATACTGGTATGGCGTATGTAAAATGTCATCAGTGTCTCTTTTATTTAAAAGTCAGTGCTTACTTGGTTTGCCTCCGAGAATTTCGTTTGTGAGGATGGCGTTTGACATCGTCTATTTTTGATTTTCCGGAGTGCTGATAAATGTGTGTTTCTACAGACTACTTGTTTACTAGTCTACTACTATGGGTAACCTAGTGTACACTAATCTACTTTACTGAATCTCTTGTTGTGAAAGGGTCGTTTTTACAATGATGAGTGTTAGGATGATGAAATATCCTTCTTTTCTATCATCACTGATGACAAAGTTATTTTTAAAATGATGAAATGTCGTTATTTTTTTTTTATCATCATTGATGACAATGTTATTTTTAAAATGATGAAAAAAATATTTAAATGATGAAATATGATCATCATTCTAGACCATAACAGGAGCTGCAGACAATAACATCACTTGTTACTTTCAGGCAGCTTGACCATATATCTTTGTTTAAAAGTAATTTAGGTAGTTACCTTTAAAAGCTTTAGCCAAGAAAAGGATAATACTCACAATAGTTCTTTGTTAGTGTTATACCATAATACCTATTCTATTGTAATAGACTCTCCCACGGATAATAAGTAGTAGTAGCAGTGGCCAGTGGGGCTCAGTGGTGTTGAGCGAGTCAGTCGATGTCAGACATTGAAGTATCAACCATCACAACTAGATTGCTGCGTCATTAACTCTTATTTCAAGTTTCTAACGTTTTGTCCGTCGAACCTTTTTAGGACCGACTTAGCGAAATACAAGCCTCCACTGTGAAAACTACTCTACAACAGTTAGGCATGGGGTCTCTCAGAATCTAGCGTCCTCTTTTGTCAACTCACTAACTGCTGACTTCATCTCTCCTGACGTACGAACCGAATCATGATGAATAATGATTAAACCGCTCGGCGGTGTCTCTTTATATTTTGCTAACCGGCTCAATTAGCTATTAATCAGATTTCGTCTATACTTTTTAAATTTTGTCCTTCTGATTGATAGAGAATTCTCTTGAGAAGGAGTTCTTTTGTCAGTACGTTTCTTTTCGTTTTTCAATTACCCTGTACTAGACAAAATGTCGTTATAATCATGCTCAGAAGTAGGGATTATAAAAAAATGGTTGAAAATGTCTTCACTCAAAAGATTGGGAAGAGATAGTCTTATATATTATTCATATAAATTTTTACTAGTTTCATGGGAAACGATTCACTTTGGGAAGTTTTAATTTGGGAATGTTAGCATAGACCAAACCAATATCTAAACTGACACTGAAATAAAATTTTAAAAAACTGGAACGGTCTATTGTAGCTAGAGGTATTGAATGTAGGGAGCCCTAAAATGCAATTGTCCGTGATCAACTCTGGGAGAAAAAAAAGCAATATTTCAAGGAATATTGCTTTTAAATGCTAATAGCCTACTCGACATTATTTCTTCATAAATCTACTAATTTACATATAAGAAAAATATGAATGGAAGACCTCTTTTACACATAATACACAAAAAGCGGCACAATTTTTGAGGGAGTAAATTCAAGGATGTATTTTTCTACAATTTTATTTTGCAGGATCACAATGCTTAGTAAACACTTAGTACTTAGATTGTATTAATGTATAACAATACAATAGAGAACATTTGTTTTATATGGTGATATTTTTAAAAAGATAAAATTCATCAACAGAGTTGAGTTTTGCAACAGAGGAAACTTGTCAAAGAACTTCCCATTGTATAAAGATTAAAGTAAATATCAACTCCCCAAATATCTTTCTTTTTTTCTTTCTTTTTTTAATCATTTCAACTCGAGCAAGGCCATAGTCACTAAAACGCAAACGAGATCTATCTGAGATAGAATGAAAAAGAATAAATGTTATCTGAGATAGAATGAAAAAGAATAAACATTATTGAGAAGAAAGGACAATAAGATAACATTTTAAAAAGACAGATGACGATTGATGTTGCATTTGAATTTTTGAAGATTGTAGCCGACAGGAAAACAAGAAACTGGAAGAGAGAACAACAAACGAAAATTGAGAGAGCAGAAACTATTAGAATAAAACTTAGGGTTATATTTAAGCCCTTTCAACAGTAAAATGATGAGACCTAGCTGCCAATCAAGTAACATGCTTAATTTTATGAACTCGAGGTACCAATGTGGAAAACTCACCAGAACAATTGCCATGAAACTATATCTAGAAAAGGCACCAGGAAACTAAGTTACGACAATGGGCAAGTGATTGAAGCTGAGATGCCAGGTTAGGACTGATAACATAGACATTGTTCTTTGGATTTTGTCAAGAAAACAGAGCAGAAACATCAGACCAGATGTAACAACAAAATTTAATACATGGATGAAATGCTAGACTTTTAAAGTTGCAAGATTATAAGTAGGTTACTTATACATTTTTATGAATTTTATTCATAATCTAACATGATTTATGAAAGAAAATTTCGAATGTTAACGTTTATTTTTTTTTTAGTTTTTGTTTAGGCGATTTTATACATATTAGTTATCATTAAAACTAAAAATGGTGTTATATATCTGACGATAAGTTGATAATATATATGTGTGTGTGTGTATATATAT